TGCTGTTATAGCCAATGTACTCCAAGTTTCAGTTAAATGCATGCAGAGATGCTCTTTTGCATTTGGCTGTAACAAGTGGTTTTTGAGTTACTGTTGCCTTCCTATGACCTCAAAGCAGTTTGACTATTCTTCTCTGACCTCTAACAAGAAGGCTCTCTCATCCAGAGAACTGCCACTCACTAGATGTTTTGACCTCTTTTGGGTTACTTATATTACCTCTCTTCCCCATTCTGATCCTCAGTTTGAACTTTATCAGGTTGTGATATGCCCTGTTAGAGCAGTCACACTGACATGATAGTCAGGTGCTAGTGAGATGACAAATCAGAGATGGAAAGAAGGAATGACGTGTCACGAAGAAGATCATATGAGGTGGGGGATGAGAGTTGAGAGAGTGAAAGCAAGAGACTGAGAATTGTGATCTATTAGTGTCAGCCATCCTAATCCTGGTCTTGTGTTTGTTTATATGTCTTGGAAGAGTTCCCCAACTCCTAAATCCACAGAACAGCTGTTCAAAGACAGCAGTGTCAGGCCCTGAGAGGTGGCAACGGCCAGAAAACTACAGATTTGATCAGGACCGACAGTCTCCAAAGCACCAGTCACTTGATCATTGGGTTTATTGTGCATCAGAAGGCTTAGGTTTCCACATTCAAGATTCAAATTTGCTGAAAAAATATGTTTTTTATTTCACATATAGCCACTGAGTCTGAAGACTTCTTAAGCTCACTACATTGCACAAATTTGCATATATGAAAGCTGCAGAAGTTGCAACAATAATCTAGATGTGGGAAGTCTGAATATAGTTAAACTGGGCTCCTATGGAGAGGACCATTTATACTGGAAACCATTCTATCAGTGGCATCCGATGCACAGCAGCTCAGTATGCACAATACTAGCTAAGTGTCCTGCAGTTTAAAAAAAAAGAAACAACTTCCTCTACTCAAGCACAGCACTTTGTCATGTCTGTCAAGCTGTAAATAGAGGCATTCTTCCATAAAAATCATCGATAAAGAGCAGAGACTTCCTGCTTGTAGATGCACTCAGGGTGGTCACTACACTATCCCATATGGAATTCCTGCCATGATTTTAAGGATGTACACTGGGTTTAATGCTCTGCAGAGAATTTTAAAACCCTTTTCTGAACCACAAAAAATGTTAAGCAGGCAAGTTTTCATGTATCACATATTTTGCCAAAGCCACACATAACCCAGAGCTGTTAGGCCTCTGAGTCACAACATTCGGGTTGTTTGACTTATTAACATAGGCGGCTACTACTGCTGTTAGAAGAGTACAGTTAACTATTACAATGATGAACTCCATTGATAAAATGTCAGTGGTGAGTCAGGGGTGAGCAATATTTTATTTTTCGTAGGGTCAAAAGCTGACACACGTAGTGCCGAATTATGTTAACATGGTAGATTATTTTACAATAGACTATTTACTATCGCAGAAAGGCTGACTGTTTAAGGAACACTTTTTAAAACACTTTTATGTGTTATGTGCCAATTCTGATATCCCCGTGTTGGTTTTGTTCTATATCATCATAACAGTGTCGCTCCAGGATCAACTTACCAAGAAATTAGCTAATGGTTTTAGCTTTTTCCACCAGATCTCAAACTTATGACATCACAAGAACGTGATTGGTCAGTGGCTTTTAATCTTTTAATCTGGCTTTCAATGCTGAACCAACATTATTATTATACAGAAACAACACCAATACGGGGATATCAGATACACTGCATTTAGCTGTGCTGTCACTGTGTACAACAATCTGTGGGTTGATGGATGGGAGTATCACATTTAATCTTTGATAAAGGAAATATATCGGCATAAATACATTTTTGAGTAATTTATCCAGTTTGTCTCATTGGCCAATGAACTTGCCCAACATCCTTTTTGTTTTTTCAATAAACTGGCTCAGGGTCATTGGAGTATTAGTTACAGTGAAAGTGGCAAGGACATATTTAGTGGTCCTCTGCATTCACTAACTTAACAATTCCATATTCAAAGGAAGAAAATGACATAATATCTTTGAAAGCGTTCCCATTAAACACAAAAACTTCACAGAAGTGCTTCTGCTTATATAAAAGCTTTTTCTCTCTTTGTGTGTGCTGGTCTCTGTGGATGTAGTCTATCAAAGTAGGAACACACTGATGGAAAGTGCCATACCTGCCCTAATCCCTTTCATAAGCTCAGCAGAAGACAGGGAAGATAACAGACCAGCTGATGTGGCTATTTACTAAAAATAAATGACCAAAGCACAGCGCTGTTGTGGTCATTAAAGTTGTCTATAAATAACATGGAAAGGCCAATTATTATTTCCTCAGTCTTTCTTTCTTGTGTTTGTGTCTGTCTTGTGTGTGTATATAGCTTTCTTCATTTACTTAGAGTATAATGCATTTTGTTATTCATCAAATGGCACCAAATACAAAGAAATGCATGCTTAGATTTAAAGACTCCTGTCAAATAAGGTAACACAGCCTCAATGGACTGGACTACTATTATCTTGTTACCTCACATGAGCTCATTCTGATCACAAGGGGGGGGAAAAGTCCTATTTTTTAAAATTATTTTAAGAGTCAACAGCTGAAATTCACAGTCAGGACTGCACCCATGTTTTGCCCTTTATTTCTACCTGGGTCAGTAAAGGCTGTGATAATCCTCTGTCCAGCTGTTTCCAGATCTGTAGGTGATGGGACCTACATTCCTTGCTCACATTACATGCTGGACTGACATGATTTTGATCTCCTTTCATTTTACCTCTTCATTATAGAAAAGGAATGTTACCATGTTTTGTGAGACCTACAACAAAATATTTACCAGTGGTTTTGTACGAAAGGCAAAGACTGGAGGAGACATCCATTGTGACAAGATGTGAAGGTTAAAACAAACAACAAACATAACAACCAGCCCAAATAACAAAGTACGTATATATCAACCTTTTATTGGAGTGTACATTGTAAGAGTCATTATTCGTCCAGCCTTTTTGGTAAGACTTGGTATTCACAATGTCTTATTAACCGAGTTACCTACAGAAGCTAACATCAGCAAAACATGGCTAGTTTTTCTCCCAAGAAGTATCTTAGTATTTGACAAAAAAAAAAAAAAAAAAAGAAAAAAAGAAAAGAGGTCAGTTAGAAAATCAAGCAAGTGGCAATTTGTCTCTCAAAGACATAATTTGAAGGAAATATTTGTTTTCTTAAACAGCAAACAGAAGAAAAGAAATTATAGTTTTAAAAGCTTTAAATGTTTTCAATCACAGTATTTTTCAAGAAACTTCACGTTGTATTGGTCTTTTTTTTTTTTTAATTATCCAGAAACGTATTAGCAAAATTACCCAGACTGGAATGCTAATATGCTTTTTTTAAGGTTTAGTTACTAAACATAACAACTCATTAGCTTGATGACACAGCAACAGGTTTTAGATTTTTCCCAGTTTCTTGGCGAGCGGTACTACTCACCATTACTTAGTTCGGTTCACGGTTTTCTCTGCCACGTTTTTTTGTTCTGGCATAAGCAGCTAGCATATGGTTAGCTAAAACTTGAAGCCTGAAACCATACCAATCAGTTTTCATGATGCTTCACTGATTACGTACAGGTTGGAAGTCAGGTTATCTCCATTTTTGAGGCCAATGATTTAATGTGTGCTATAAACATATGCTAATGGATAATGTTAGCCAACAATAACAGAAAATATATTACTTTATGATAAATGTTAACATTTTCCATTTATGGCTGCTGTTAGAGCTAATTTTATAATACAGGGTTTACCAATAACTGTCATTTGTCACCAATGCTCACTAGTAGAAGTGACTTGCCTTCTTTAGTTTCCATTATCTGTCATAATTTTGTTTAGCTTTTAAAGCCATTTTCTGCCAATGCAAAAAAAACAAACTTGAAATTTTAAGATATATTTAAATCAAAATTTTGACAGACCCAACTTGAAACGTTCCAAAGTTGAAATATTAACTTGATTTGTAATTAAGACCTAAATTTGTAGGAAATAAGCAAGCTATTCCATACATTCAGGAAAAGATGGTTTGTGCTGACGGATAATTTTAACCATATTCTTGCAGAACCTTTCAGACAGAAAGCACTAAAGGAAAACTTATCAACTGCTGTTTAGCAAAAGTTGTTATACAATATCACTTTAGAGACAAACGGGTTAGAAGGAATTTGCACAACCATGGAAATTACAGTTCTCTAACAATTAAGCAGATTTTTAACTAGTTGTGACTGAAGTATTTTGTCCTATTTAACATTAAATAAAAAATGTTAAACTTGCTGACAACCGTTTTCCTTTTTTTTTTTAGTTCAGATCAAAGGACAGCTTGAATCTTTAGTCTTTGTAGAGAACTGTTAACCACAGAGTTCTTTATGGAAGTAATTCCTATGTTACACCTCATGACTTACAGTTAGCTAAAATAATGATACTTGTTAGAAGAATGCCATGAATGCATTTCTTCCTATAGCAGGAAGTACATGATGTTAGCCCTGGTGTTTCTGCACAGTAACTTTGCATATGGACCCATGATAAGCATCAGGTATGAAAACTAAAATGTCTTTATTCCACAAGTTTTACATGATGAATGACCTGATTTCAACAAACAGGCATTTATTAATACTCTGCTTGCTATTGTAAAAAAAAAACAGAACACAGATTCAACTGAATCTTTAGTGTTGTTGAAAAGAAAAAAAAAAAAAAAAAAAAAAAAAAACAGACCCCAAAACCCTAAAAATCACAACAGATAGCCTGCCATAACACTGTGAGCTACCTCCATTCATGTACTCTATGTAGTGTTGTGTGTTTAAAAACAAATGAAATAAAAAAGCTTCATGTTCAGGTGTATTTCTGTCTCATTACCTAAAGCGTATGTAATTTCCATAATGAAGCAGACCTGAAAAATGTCCTGTATTCATGCAGCGAGTCTCCTCTTTTTAATCTGTGCAAAAATATAACAAGACTCAAACTCTGGAGAAAATTTACAGTCCACAACAAATGAAGCGAAATATTCCAAAAATCCTCTTTGTTTTAAGAAAATATGAGTGCTAAACTAGGATCATTTGAATACGTAAAAATAAACTACAGAGCAGTAGGGTATGAAAATAGTTAATTCTTTTCCCTCCTAATGAACAACGATGATACGACTAATCAAACGATCTGTGGCGACCTGTTTTGTAAGTTACCACCCCCAAAACTACATTTAACTCTGAAGTTTGAAAGACAAATTGATATAAAATTGCACGTTAAACTGAGGACTGGGAACGTGTGCAATGGGAGGCAGCAGATATGAAAGATGCCTGAGTGACAGATGAGGGAGTGATGTAGGGACACTTAAAATGAGAGATGAGACATATTGCTATCAAGAGACAGATCCAGCCAATAAGGCGTAAAGGGAGAAGATGAAGGGCCGACGACCGAAGATGACAATGACAAACATTTACAGATTAAATGAGGTATTGCACAGATTAATAAAAAGGCATGAAGGCAACAAAAAATATACAGCAAATCAATAGAACATTTACATTAATAATTTTGAAATTAACGATTTCTTTTTCCAAATACAATTTTAGTGTTGTGATCATTTGGTTGGGGAATTGAGGAAGGGGGGTTTGGGAAGGGGAGAAAAAGAAAAAACACAAACAAACACTAGTCATCCCACTCATCCTCCTCCTCAAAGTCTTCATCATCTTCATCATCATCATCCTCATCTGTAGAAAGAAAAATCATGTTATCTAGGCTGAAAGAGATGAAAAGTTCTTAATGCAGGCAATAAAACAGCAATATTTATACAGAGGCTATGTATGGTGCATTATACTGTTGTTCAAAATTCTCTGAGGGTGACTTTCATGTTTTGTTTTGTTTTTAAATG